TGAAGCATTTAAGAACTAGAGGAAAGTTGCATGTTTCAGCATTGCTACACTGCACCCTTCTGTAAGGGGATGTCCAGTTGCCTACAGATGGGCTTTGGGTCCCCAATCTGCACTCCTCCTCATTCACAATGATATGATTTTGTGTTCTTTAATGCCTGATACCTGATCCCTTCGACACCTTGTGATCACATAGGCTGCCTCATGATCACACAGGCTGCCTGGGCTGGTTATTAACAAAGCCTGAGATGTTTGGCATCATGTGACTAACAAGATTGGCTAAGCTGTTGAATTGTAAAGTTGACCCTATCTTGCAACTGATTAGCATTAGAGTATATAAGCAGCTAAATCAAATTGACTACATCTATGGGAAGTGCACATGGAGAAGCTCAATCTCAACAGCTATCACTAGGCCAGGGGATGTCTGTGGACCAAACCATCAATTGTTCATAGGTCCATTCAGGGGAAAAGCTGAAGAAAATTAAAACAAGCCCAGAAGCTCGAAAATACGACCTTATGTCTATCCCACCCGTATTTCAAGACCATCTCAAGAACAGATTTCATGCATTTAACAGTAATGACAGTACACCCGCTGAGCTGGTGGAAGGATATTAAGGCCATCATTCAAGAAGAAAGTAAAAGGTCATTTAAAAGACAGGAAAGAAAGAGGATCAAGTAGACTGTTAGAAGACAATCAGAAACTGGCTCCTAATCGTAGAGTAGCTAAAGCAAATTGAAGAAACAATGAAGTCAAAGAGCTGAATAGAAAATGTAAAAGGGAGCTTGAGAAGACAAAGCCAAATATTACAAATATTACAATAAATGTATAAAGATTTGAATTAGAAAATCAAAAGAGAAGAACGAACAGCACAGCAAAACTGAAAGAACTCAAAAAATAAGGCTATGTCAATATTGAAAGATCATGGCAAACTGTCGAATGATGCTAGAAGCATCAAGAGAAGGTGGAAAAGTACACAGACACCGTACCAAAAAGAAAAAGGTGGTAGTTCACCATTTCAGATGGCAACACATGGCCCAAACTTTTCCCCAGTCTGTGGGCTTTTGATTCACTCCCCTGATGAAGTCTTTTGATGTGCATAAGCGATATCATTTCAGCATATTTCAATCATCCATCCTGTCCTTTGCTGAATGTGCCTCCTTCGTTATACTTGGTAGGCTATGTATGCCCTGCCATAGGGTTGTTCTGTGGTGTATGGTGTCGCTGTGTGTCACAGCAACAGACCCATCTATCTTGGAAACGGTGCCAAGGGTTGTCTTACATATTTTGGATAGATTGTCAGAAGAGACCAGTCCTTGGAGAAGGACATCATGCTTGGTCAAATGTAGGGGTAGCAATAAAGAAAAAGGTCTTTAAGGAGGTGGATTGATACAATGTCGACAACAATGGGCTCAAGCGTGGGAACAATTGGAAAGATGGGCCAGGATCCTGGAGTGTTTTGTTCTGTTGTCTAGAGAGTCACTACAGGTCATAACCAACTCGATGGCAGGTGACAACAACAAATGGAGGTAGTTGTGGTTGAGATCATTTGGATGGTAGAAGACATGCTGCTTGGGAAGTAGGCTGACAATAAACCAGCGCCATATGCAAGCAGAAGGGTCACGAATGTGATATAGTGTCGGTAATTTAATTGTTTAGCATCAGATCCTACAATGGCAGAAAGATCATTGGTTAAGATGCAGTACAGTGGAGAGGTATGCCTAGAGCAGCGGTTCTCAACCTGTGGGTGGCAACCCCTTTGGGGGTCGAATGACCCTTTCACAAGGGTCACCCGATTCATAACCGTAGCAAAATTATAGTTATGAAGTAGCAACTGTAAGGGAGTTGAGAGGCACCAGAGACCAAATCAGTTTAAATAGAACAAACAAGCTTTATTAGGGAGAAAAACCTAACCTGGGCAAAGTCCCACAGTCAACAACGTCCAGGCCAGGGGAATCGGACTCCAAGCTACAGGGTTGGTGCTTATATGGACAGGTATGTCCGGGTTTCTGGAATGTAAGGTGTCATCCTGGTTCCAGGTGTATTCGTGCCAGGTGCAGAGGGATGGGCGAGAACAAAGCCGGCACTGAGCCAAAGGGCCCTGCCTGTGCCAGGTGCAGAGCTGCGGGCCGAGAACAAAGCAGGGACTGAGCCAAACGGGCCGTGCCTGTGCCGGGTGTAGAGAAGCGAGTCGAGAATAAAGGAGGCCATTAGCCAGCTCTGGTCAGCTCCGCAAGTGTGTGTGGGAGTCAAGGTCACTCACTGCTAGTTGTTTCAGCTCGCTTAGTCAGCTGCACAGGTGGGGGAGATTTAAGGTCACTTGCTACAGGAAGCCGGCCTGGTATTGATCAGGCCACACAGTGCATCCCCCTGCTTTGAATGTGGCTCCCCCAGGTTCTCCCCTATCAGCTGTGCTGCCTTGGACTGAGCACAGGTATGGTGGATTCTGTCTCCCTATGGAAGCTGACATTCCTAATCCTCTCCTCCAGCCAAGGCACCCATCCCCCTCATACCTTCCCCCAGTGCAGGTAGTAAGTTTCCTCACTTTGAGCTCAGGGACTTGTGCTGATTCCCACCCACCCTGTGACGTGTGGAACTACTGAATATGCATATCTTGTGGCTCCCTATAAATACCTCCAGATAGTACAGGCGACTCTCTTCTCCCATCCCCACTTGGACCACCAAGAGGGGCTGAGGTGAGCATGCTACCCTGAAATGTGTCTGCCTCCTTTAGTTTACTTTCTCTCCTCTCGTCCGTGACTTTACTATAAACTCTATTTATGATAGCCTTAGTGGTTGTGTTAGAGGCTGGATCACTGACAATCCAGCTAAACTTAAAAGTGTGCGGACTTCGAGAAGCACGGAGGAGAGGCGCGCACGCGCGCACGCACACACCTTTCCTTCTCTGCCTCGTCAGGCCCCTGTGGGAGCCGCGCGAACCCTCCGAGGGCGCGGCCGGGAGTCCTCGGTTGGAGACGCGGACACTTCTGGCCTTCGGCGGCCGCCGTCGTTCCCAGGATCTCGCGAGAGCGCGGAGCCGCCGCGCGCGTTGATGACGTTTGGCGAGCGCCCTGGTCGCTTTCGGAGATGAGTGTGAGTTCCCGCTTTGCCCGGGGGGCGGGGGAAGATGAGGGTTTCCGTCCTTGGTGAGCACCTGAGCTCCTCGGGGCTCCGGGGCCGGGGGCGGGGCCGGGGGCAGGCGTGGGTTGGCACCTGAGGGACGGACGGGGTGAGCGCCCGTGGACCGCGCCCGGGCCGGCTGACAGGCAGGGTCGCGGCTCTGTGCGCACGTCCCTGAGGACGGAACGCACCGGGTCGGGGACCGCTCCCAGCGTGCTGGCCCGCGCCGGTGAGAGGTGAGCACGCCCGTGTGCAAAAGGCTGGTGGGGTCGTGGTTGCGTTAGGTTTCTGGAATTCCCCCCTTTCCCCATCCCCGGTCTTCCTTCTCGACACTGGAAGAATTCACCCCGCAGAAGCACTTTTGTAAGTTCAAGTAATTTTATGAAAGAAAGGGGGTTTTCGGGGCTCAGATAGTAAATGCTACCTCTGGAAAGCGTGCCAGGCAGCATGGTGGGACCCTGGGAGAGTTGGAGACTGAAAATTACTGCTTCAGGGGAGCGTGAAGATCCACGTGGAAAAAATGGCAAGAAAGAGGAGGCTGCTGAGCCAAAAGAATGCGGGACCCGAATAAGCAAGAGGAGTTCCTTCGAGAATGAGCGCTGGAAGAGGGCGCGCCTATTCTAAGTGGCTGAGTTAGGCACATGTTGCTAGTGCCTAGTGTGCACGCCCAGGTTGACCTTCACTTGTATGTACTTGACTTTAGTCTGAGCATGCCCGCGTTGGATTGTCACCATAGGTGTCTAATGTGTGTGCGCCTGATTTCTTTAAAGCTCCTTTATTGTGGCATAGCCAGTTACTTTCGGTTAGTGTAGGCATTTGGTGGCGACCACGCCCTTCAACCCCCATTTTCCCACCTGTCAGTTACATATCAGGCTATTAACTGCAAGGTCAGCAGTTGGAAAGGACAAGCCACACCCCAGAACAAAGAAAAGGCTTTTGACTCTTGTAAGCAGTTACAGTCTTGGACAGCCACAAGGGGCAGTTCTGCCTTGTCCCAAAGGGTCGCTGTAATCAGAATGCATTTGATGGCAGTAAATTGGGTTTTGCTTGTGGATGACATGCCTTCTTCAATACTCAGTGATTTATCATTTCCCTTGGGAATCACTCCTTACCATCAATTGTTTGTTGTGAGGTAGGAATTGCACCTTTTTATTTATTTTTCCACTCAACATATGAATTCAGTATCCAGGCTTCATTTTTTAAAAAGATCATTGTTTACCATTTATCCACAATTCTGAATCATAGGTTCTATTGTCCATGGCATATATTTTGATTCACTAAATAAAGGACCAGTCAACAGTTTTGTGGCTTGGTGTGAAGAAGAGACGCAGGAATAGCAATAGCAATAATAGCACCTAGACTTATTGGTGATGTGCCACTCACTGTGTATTTTCCCATCAGCCTTCAGGTTTTGAATCTCCAGCCACAAGAGAATCACTGGGAGGAAAGAAGAAGTGCCTGGTCTGGGGATTATTTTGACAGAGTCTGAACAAAATTGGCGCTGATCCAGTAAACACAGAGACAGAGCATCTCTGCGTCAGGCAGTGTCCTAAGGAACAAAGAAAATGATCAAAGCTCAGGTGACTTTTGGCTTGTTTTGTGTTTTGCGTGCTAGTCTGGGTACTTTAGAGACACAAATGCACACAACTCGTGTATAAGAGAGAGTTTTATATAAAGGTTAAGTGCACATCAAGAAAACATTCCAACCCAGTGCTGCCCAAACCCAGAAGTCCATTAGCCTATATGTCTGACACCAATCCACAAATTCCTCCTCCATCTCACAAAACAGACGCAATGATGCTGACTGCAGGAGGAAAGCTGAGTCAGTGAATGTGTAAGCGTGTCAGTGCTGGCAAGGGTCTTCACACGGCTGTTCCAGTACCCAGGGCTTCATCAGGGTAGCTCCATGAGGCTTCTCAGGGATGTCTTGCAGGATGTGAGCTTTCCCAGCTGAAGCAGGGACCTGACTAAGGCAGATGCACCCTGGTCAAACGATCACAAAGAGACCCGAAAACTGGAAACGCGAAGCTCACAGAACCATTTTCCCTCCACCCTTCAATTAACCCCACATGTGTTTATTGGCCAGATTGGCACAGTAACTACCTCACTAATGGATTTGTAGCACCCTGAGGCCAATTCAGTTTGTCAGAAAAGTGTACCTCTGTAAAAGTAGAAGCAAGAGAGAAATAAACTTTCACTCAGACCTCAACATCAGCTGTGTTTAAGATCAGGAGTAACAGTGATTATGAGAGGAGCGTCAAACTTGTCTGAGTAAGTTTCTAAAGGTCATGTTACGTAAAATCCTGAAGAGCAACATTCTCATAGATCAGCGGTTCTCAAATGTGGGTCGGGATCCCCTTGGGAGTCGAACGACCCATTCACATGGATCCCCTATTCGTAACAGTAGAAAAATTACAGTTAAGAAGAAACAATGAAAATAGTTTAATGGTTGAGGGTCACCACAACATGAGGAACTGTATTAAAGAGTCACAGCATTAGGAAGGTTGAGAACCACTGTCATAGATGTATCAGCCAAACTATTAGTAACAGTAGTTTAAAAATGGCAGGTGGATTGGAACATGTTTCAGGTAGAGAGGTAGGAAAGAAAATCACTATCCACCTCAGGTCCAAACTTCAGACGCGTCAAGTAAATGAGTCTCTAGGATGTCGAAACTGGCAATCCCAAATCCATAGCGTAGATAGATACCAGTCTGGAGGATTCTCTGCACTGCTATGTTAGCAAAGGCTGATGAACCCAGGTGATCAGGTCCGTAACCTACTGCTGCCTAATACAGTGAACTTGGTAAATCAAGAGCAATGCTAGATTGCTGTTGCAACAGCTGAAGACCCCAAAGTGGGCAAGACAGCAGGCTGCTGGCTCACAATGCTGTTGTTGTTAGGTGCCACGGAGCTTGTCCTGTACATAGTGACCTTATGTACACTCGAACAATCCTATACTTGAGCCCATTCTTGCAGAAACTATCAGCCTTTCTCCTGAGGGCCTTCCCCTTTTTGGCATTCCATTTACTTTAAGGAGCATCACATCTTTCTCTGGGGACTGGTCTCCTGACAACATATCCAAAGTATATACAGCAAAGTCTGGCCATTGTTGCCTCGAAGGAGCACTCTTTGTGTACATTTTCCAAAACACATTTGTTTGCCCTTTTGGCAGTTGATGGACACTTAATGTTCTTGGCTGGCACCATAATACAAACACATCCCGTGTCCAACTCTTACATGCTTATGAGGCACTTGAAAATACTACGGCTTGGGTCCGGCGCGCTCTGGTCCTCAAAGTAACATCCTTGCTTTTTGAATGCTTACTGTAAAGCAGTGGGTCTCAACCTTCCTAATTCCTTGACCCTTTCATACAGTTCCTCATGTTGTGGTGACCCCCAGCCTTAAAATTATTTTCGTTCCTACTTCATAACTATAATTTTGCTTCTCTTATACATAGTAATGTAAATATCTGATATGCAGGAGTTATTTTCACTGTTACAAATTGAACATACTTAAACATAAAGCATAGTGATTAATCACAAAACAATATGGAATTGCATATTGTGAAATATTTGTGTATTCCAATGGTCTTAGGCCACCCCTGTGAAGGGATCTTTCAACCCCCAAGGGGTTGCCTACCACAAGAAGAAAACCGCTGCTCTAAAGGGTTCATGCAGTAGCTCTTTGAATCTCTTGCCTGCAGCTTTCATATTAATGGACAATTAAAAAACACAACAAAACAGACAATTCTCTGTTTCCTTGAAAGTGTTGGCTTCTTAGGCCAACACAGCCACTTCCCTGCCTGAGCCAGTGCAGGATGCTCACAGTAGCCAAGCCATTAGTACAGAAGCAGAACAAGCCGTATGACAGAACCTGTGGTGGCCAATGAATGGCAGGGCCAATAGGAACTTGTAATTGGAAGGCTTTTTAAGATGGCCAAGAACTAACTGACTTGCTGTGGACAAGAGTGCTCTGCACTGAAGAAGGGAGACCCTCGCTGCATGAAAATTTTACTTTATTTTTTAATAAATTGGGATTAATACAAAAATCAAAATCTTCTATATTTCAGTCATGTCCAGCAGAACTGAACATTTGTTACCACAATCAGTTTCCAAACATTCTTTTGCTACATTGACCCCCTCACATCATCCCCCTTTCTCCCCACTGCCACCTCCTTGTCCCCCTCCCCCAAAACCCTTATCAGTCCTGGTTTTCCTGTCATCAAAAATTAAACAACATATCAGAACTTAAAGAGGGGGACCCCAAATGACAGTACTCTGAAGATACCCCAGAATATATACAATCAAAAGCCAAACAATATAACACCTCAAACACATAATTTTTTATAAACAATATGTCCAGCGTGCATCCTAGGGAGAGTCTGCTGACAATGTTCAACTGTTCAAGTCAAATGTCTGTCGTTGACATTCTATACCCAACTTATCAATGCGCTCCCTTTAATGACCGTTCTCCTCCTATCCCTCAATTGTAGAAAGAGGGAGTTGCCCAGAGGTTTGTTTCCTGTATATTGGGCTCCCACTGTCATCCTTGGACTTTTGCAAACAAGATTCTCAGACGTTAGTCTCTGATCCCAATGCCTCCCTTCATCTTTGGATTGTATCCTTCACATTCCTTTGGTGGCTGATGACGGTGTGCTGCTGCTTCCTTGTGGACTTCGCTAACATCTCACTTAGATGGCGGCTTGTTTGGAGGCGAGCCTTTCATATCCATGGGCAAAATTTTATCTGATACTGCGGCACCATCTCATTTCTTCAACACAGGTCATTATAGCACCTGCCTCCTCCGTGTTCCCTTCCCAGAGGCGAGGACCGAGCAGGCCCATGATGTGCATGCTTTCTTACGCTACTCTTGAGGTGAGGCTCATTGAGCCATTTTTCTGCCCACCCTTCAGTTAACCCCACATGTCTTTATCAGCCAGGTTGGCACAATGAACTTTAACTCAAGGACTGACAAAGTAGGTTGACGAGTTGAGTTGACTGAGCTCCACCTCATAGCAATAACCCTGAACTGACCCTGGGAGTTAGTGCCAATGACCTTGCAAAGGTTCTAATCATGTGGGTCCTGGTAATTCTCCCATCTCCATTTCACCATGTACTGTTAACCTTGTCTGTGCTGTAACATGTAAGTACTTGTGTCACATGTGTGGGTGTACTGGGCACACTTCCACTGTCACAGGGTTTTGCTTTTACTAAGAGATATTTGAAAAGAAATACACAAAATCAGGCCTACGTGTATGGATACCGCCTCCATAGAAGAGAATTGAGCAGTAAAATATCCTTTACATTTCTTTCATATCATCACATGAAAAGTACTTCAGAGGACCTAATATCGGGGGTTTAAGTGGAGAGAAAATGTTTTGAGAATGATGTACAAATGTGCTTTGCACAATTGGTGTGTGTATGGATTGCGATAACAGTTGTATGAGCCCCTAATAAAATGCTTAATAAAAATAAAAATGTCCATTAACTTAAATAAATAAAACTAAAAAAAAGAAAAGAAAGGTACTTCATTTGTTCCTTTGTGGGATACAAAAAGGCTTTTCTCCAGATTGTCTCCCTCAAATCTATGTCAGGCCTAGGACACTGCTTGCAACACATGGTCAATGATTGTTGCACACTCAGAAGCGAGCTGCTTAGAAGTTACCTCCCTGAAGGCATCAGCATCCAGAGCAATCAGACTATTGTCTGTTGCACCATCAGTGGAGCTGACACCCTACTGATAAGGATAGTGATGGTTCCCATGCAGATTCCAGAAAGTAAGTCAAACCAGCCGAAGGACAACCAAGATTAGGCTGCCATCCTGAATCTCAGACCGGCCCATCTTGTCACATGTGTACCCCTTATCACTCCTCTTCCTATTGCTTGTACACCCCTAGAACGTGCCCCTCCCATGGCTGTATTGCTCATGGAACAACCCCTTCCTGTGACATTGTTTACCTGTAATCAGTCAGGGTGCGTGCACCAAAGGATATATAAGCCTTGGTCAGAGAGAATCCCTCCTCCGACTCTCTTCCAGGACATGGCCATTCCGGAGATGAGCATGCTACCATGAAATGTGTCTGACTCCGTTAATTTTATCTTCTCTCCTATTTCCTTATTCTCTATGATTTCACTGTAATCTGTATATATTATTGCTGTACAGTTGTGCCTATGGACCCGTGATATTGTCAGAGGCTGGTTACTCTGACCTTCATTGAATACAATCCTTTTACAGAACTCAGTGACACCCAGCGACGTGGCTATAAAGTTCACCTGGGAGGA